GCAGCCAATTGCTGCTGTGGGGCAATGGGACACGCCCACGAGTGTGCCCCTGCACTGTGAAAATTTGAGTCGTCACTTGATGACAATTTCAAGGCTAATTTTCCTGACAACAATGTCATCAAAACAATTGATGACATTGTTGTCACGCCCACGCAATGAGTAGGCAGGAGCCTTGATGACAATGTCATCAATTCGTGATGAGATTGTCACCATTTGAAAATGATGAGAATGTCACCCACGTTTTTGTCGTAAAGTAGCGACAAATTTTCACAGTGTGGCGTCGTGTCACGCTGTGGCGGTCTCTGTCGCCAACCCAGCAACGCCGTGCTGAGTCGGAACCGTCCGCGAATGAATGATGAATGATTTACCGAGACTAAATATGTCATTCGCCTTCGACGACTTGCTGCTCTGATTCCCTCGAGGATGGCTGCGTCGCATAAATAAACTCTGGATTTAGCTCTTCACTGCAAAGCTAGTGGTAAGTTTGCTTGCCACAAATTTGGCAAGCCGTTTTGAATGTCAAAATTTGGCAAGCTTTGGTCGGCAATATGCATAAGCTTGCCAAATTTTGGCAAGCTGGGAAGTATTTCCGGACCAAGCTTGCCAATTTTTGGCATTCAAAACGGCTTGCCAAACTTGTGGCAAGTAAACTTACCACCGGCTTTGCAGTGTTGACTTGTTCATGTGACCATTTTCCAATATTTCACACACGTAACTTTTTGTTCTTGTTTTTTTTTGTTTTTTTTTTTGGTTGTGGGTTGTTTTGCGGCAAGCGGCAAGGGGACTCTGCGAGCGGCCAGACTGCGGCGTTTGCCATATTGCCGCCACAGTGTAGGAGCATGGCGCTCGGCTCTACTTCCCGGAAGGCCCCATGTAAAACGAACCGGGTGGGACAGAGACAGAGCGAGAGAGAGATGACGCATACCCACACACGCAGAGCGCGCAGATCAATGCACGGAACGGCGCTGGATCTGGATCCAGATCTGGATCCAGATCCGGATCTAGTCGACATCCAGTGGATGTCCCTTGGTCGGAAAGGCCACGCGCTTGTTGCCACACACCGCCTATTTTTGCCTATCGCGTTCGTTTTATGTTTTATGGCCGGTGTCGTGTGTCACGCCGGCAACGCCGCGTAGTCCCTCACACACACAAACACACACACTGCAGAACGTCACCCACACTAAGGGACACTTTTAAGATTCAGAACCTCACATGCACATGCCTTGACTCACCTGCTGTCAGACAGGACATGACGTGCACACCTTACCACACACACCTTACCTCACACACACACACACACACACACACACTTATCATGCACCCACACACGCCGCGCTAGCCGCGCTTAGCCGGCCCACGTGCGCGCGCACGGTCTTACAGTGTCGGCCACAAGTGTCGCTCTCGGCAGGGGCCGCGCCCCGCCCCCGAGTAAACCACTGTTACCTTCCATTATTGATCGATCGCTGATTCGATTCATCCCACCTCGGCCGATGATCGGAAGGGAGGGAGAGAAGAGAGGTGAGAGAGAGAGAGAGAGAGAGAAGAGAGAGAGAGAGAGAGAGAGAGAGAGAGAGAGAGAGGGGGGGAGCGGCGGCTAGACCTTCCTATTTGCGACAGTCGACAGACACAACTTTGTGCTGGCCGGGCTGGTCCGGGGCGGCACTGAAGGCCCGCTTTGTGTGTCTTCATATCTGCCATGTGAGGGATTCCCTGTCCGAAGTCAAACCGCTCAGCCCGCCTGCCGGCACACTGGGTTATTGCAGCGCCCAGACTGTAAAAATGATCTCACAATAGTGTGGGGCGTGCGCGTGCGGCGCCGTGTGTGTGTGCGAATCGGGCCACACCCCGCCGGGCCGCGTCTTTGGGCCGCAAACATTTGCCCGCTGTGAGTCACCTCTCGGCTTGCCAGGCTTGCCCGTCGGTCCTCGGGGCTGTGGCGCACAGTGGGCCAGAAGACCAGTGGAGGCGGACAAAACTCTAGCCGCGTTTTGAGCTCCAGAGTCGCTAAACAGGACTCGAACCGAACGTGTGACCCCACCAATGGATTGCTCTCCGAACGAGGACTCCATTGGTGGGGTCTTACGCTCGGTTCGAGTCCTGCTTAGCGACTCTGGAGCTCAAAACGCGTCTGGAGTTTTGTCCGCCTCCACCGGTCTTCTGGCCCACTGTGCCACGCGACGCTGTCGCTGCCTCGGACTTCAGTGCGCCGGAATACCCTAGCCGGCTGACACCGCTCTGGACAGTTTCGGGACAGCTCGAAGGTCGAGACACGAATCGAACGCAGGCTGGCACCAATCGACTCCTCGTTCGAGAGCAATCATTGTTGGTGTCATTAGTTTGATTCGAGTCCTGTTCGAGGGAAGTACACGTGAAGCTTGGAACAGGCCGTGGGGCTGAGGGGTGCGTAAAAGACTTGACCTTGGACACGAATGATTACCTGCCTAATCTACGATTAAGTGGCCTCGTTTTTTTTGACGTGCGTTTCCCGGAGGCCGAATATCGAAGAAAGCGTTGACCGTTCGCTTGGCCGTGGTTGGCCGCTCCGGTACACCAGGTTGTCATCTCGTCCTCGACGACCTTGGCGACCTTGACCTTGGCCTGGCCCGGCCGCGTCAAGAAAGTGTGCTGAAATGAGGCCCCCTGCATTATGGAGACAGCCGCACAGTGGGCCAGAAGGCCGGTGGAGGCGGCCAAAACTCCGGACGCGTTTTAGAGCTCCAGAGTCGCGAAAGAGGACTCGAACCGAACGTGTGACCCCACCAATGGGCTCCTCGTTCGGAGATCAATCCATTGGTGGGGTTACACGTTCGGTTCGAGTCCCGTTCAGCGACTCTGGAGCTCAAAACGCGTCTAGAGTTTTGGCCGCCTCCACCGGTCTTCTGGCCCACTGTGCGCCGGAGGCGTTCCCAAACACGCTGCCCGCTTCCGCGACTCGCCCACGCCACCGGCGCGACCAGTCCTTATTTTGACATGAATTACCATCGATTCTCGCATGCCCCCCGTCATCGTCGTCTCAATTCGTAAAGCCAGCGTGACGCGTTCCGAGAGTAGCTCTGTCTCTCTCGCACCTCCGAGGGCCGCCCCGTGAGTGCGAGAGAGACAGCCTGGTTGTTGCTCGGCCCTGCACCTGCCACTCTCATCCCATCTTGCTGCTAACAACGGCGTCGGCCCGCCGTAACGCTGTTACCGAGGGATGCGCTAGACACTGTAAAATTCCTTGTTTGGAGAGCAATCCATTGGTGGAGTCACACGTTCGGTTCGAGTCCCATTTGGCGACTCTGGAGCTCAAAACGCGTCTAGAGTTTTGGCCGCCTCCACCGGCCTTCCGGCCCACTGCGTTGGCGGGCTGGGGGTGGGGGTGCAGAGGGAGGCGGGCCGCCTGGGAGGTAGGCCGACCGCCGCCACCCGTGCGTCGCAGGGCCGCGGAGGCCTACCTCGCAGGCGCTAGGCGCGCTAGCCGGCCACAGCCCGGGTGGTGGCAGTGGGCGCAGCGGGGCGGCCTCCTTGAGGGTCGGTCTGTCCGTGTGCGTCGCCGAGCCCTTTGAGCGCCTTGGAGGCTCGAGGGCCCTTTCGGGCCGGGCCCTCTGACCCTTCAGCACGCCCTTCCCTTAGCGCTCTGACGCCGTGTGTCTATCCCGTCGACGGGTGGACGTGCCTGCAAATAACTTCCTCTCTGTGTTTGTGCTCGTACACAAATTCGTGTGAAATTTCGTACAAAAAATGCCTAGAAATTTATCCCTTGTTGCGCATTTGTCGTGAGGGTTGCCAACTTTCTACAGGGCGTCTTAGGCAGCAGACGCAGGTCGGCAACCCTCTCGACTGTGACACCGTGGGAACGTCTTGCTGTTTAGGTGGCGACACTGGGTGTGGCCGAGTGGCGGCCTGGACGTCACGAAACGGCACATCTGTGACCTTGTCCCCCGCGGCCCCCCCCCCCCCTCCCCGTTTTTACTCACCACATTGAGAGCTGAGTGTGACAGGGCGCTGCACTGTGGGCCAGAAGGCCGGCGGAGGCGGTCTAAATCCCGGACGCGTTTTGAGCTCCAGAGTCGCTGCATGCGACTCGAACCGAACGTGTGACCCCACCAATGGATTGCTCTCCGAACGAGGAGTCCATTGGTGGGGTCACACGTTCGGTTCGAGTCCCGTTTAGCGACTCTAGAGGTCAAAACGCGTCTGGAGTCCCGGCCACCTCCACCGGTGTTCTGGCCCACTGTGTGTCGCCGGGCAGGTCCTTGGCTTTCCTCGTTCGAGGCCCGCAGCCCGCAGGCTGGCCGAGGCTGGCCGCGGTCGATGTGATCAATGGATAATAAGGACGTTGTTTGTGGCGAAGCGCGAGGCCTGGCCGCGTCAGGCCCGGCCAGACCACCCGCCCGCCCGGCCAAAACAATAATAATGACATGCGCGGAGGAGAAGACTCCCGGACGCGACCAAATGAAAAGGACAGGGTGAATGAAAAATTACCTAACCAAATACACCAAGAACACAAAGACAAGATTTTTTTTAAAAAAAGCAAATGTCAGATTTTTTTTAAAAAAAGCAAATGTCACATTTTATTTAAAAAAATTAAACAACATCAATAAAAATTGGGGCACCAATTAGAACAGCTAGCAGGCCGTTTAATAGTAACTTATTCCGATTAATGGGCTGGAAGCCTCGGCGAGGTGGTGGAGCATCGATTTGCCTGGCCTGCCTCCGTGTGTGTGTGGGAGTGTGTGATAAAAATTTCAAAGGCCTCTGTTGTTTGGCGGGTGGGCGTCCCGTCTCAAATTACTCCATTCTGTCACCCCTCCCTGTACAGTGCGCTCCAGGCTGGCTGAAGTGTTCCGACCCTGATGGGGTGGATGATGTAGTGTCCACACATGCCACAAGTAACCTTACCTAACCTTACCTTACCTAACCTTACCTAACCTAACCTAACCTTACCTAACTTGACCTGACCCTGACCTAAGCTGTTCTGTCTGGTGTTTGTTAAAGTCAAGTGTCCGTCTGTCCTCCAGGGGCCATGCCCAGCACCGCGGCCGTCGGGAGAAATGGTGGCCGCAGGGGCAGCAAGCAGACGACCAGCAACAGGGAGGACATCGAGTTGGCGGGCACCGGCAGCAGCACGGCGAGGAACTCGCTGGCACCGAGTAAGTTGCCTCAATTTGCCTCAGGTTGACTGGCGTTGACATTGGTCTCGTGATTACGGAGAATGAAGTTCAGGTTCAAGACTACTCTGACTAATCGTCTGCTAAGTGCCCCCTGCGTGGTAGCCTCTCTTTCTTTCTCTCTCTCTCACGAGCCACGTGCGCGTCCAAGACACCGCGCTATGATGGACGGAAAGATAAGATAAGATACATTGATGGTATTGGAGTGAGAGACTGGATCCGAATTCGGGCAGGCCCTGGGCAGGCCCGCGCGGCCATGCGGGCGCACAGTGGGCCAGAAGGCCGGTGGAGGCGGCCAAAACTCGAGACGCGTTTTGAGCTCCAGAGTCGCTAAACAGGCCGGGAACCGAACGTGTGACCCCACCAATGGATTCCTCGTTCGGAGAGCAATCCATTGGTGGGGTCACACGTTCGGTTCGAGTCCCATTTAGCGACTCTGGAGCTCAAAACGCGTCTCGAGTTTTGGCCGCCTCCACCGGTCTTCTGGCCCACTGTGGGGCGTCCCGGGGCGATTCCCGCCGAGACGGTGGCGCGGTCTGGCGGCGACTCGCCTTATTAATTTGTCGCGCCAGTGCCGCCAGTGCCGCCACCCCATTGTGCTGGCCCTGGCCGGCCCATTGTGTGCCGCCGAGTGGGCCGTGTCCCTCCCTCTCGCCGTGTCGGGCCGCCATCGCGCGGGTGCGAGAGGGACGGCCTGCTTCCCTTGACCCTTGCCGCCCTTTCGCGCCCTTTGGCACCCTTACGTTTCCCAGCCTGCCGCGGCCCTGGCCGCCCTGCCCGCCTTGAGCCAACGAGCCGTATACCCGGACACCCGGGCTACCCTGTCCGCGCGCAGTGGGCCAGAAGACCGGTGAGGGCGGCCGAAACTCCAGACGCGTTTTGAGCTCCAGAGTCGCTAAAAGAAACTCGAACCGAACGTGTGACCCCACCAATGGATTGCTCTCCGAACGAGGAATCCATTGGTGGGGTCACACGTTCGGTTTGGGTCCTATTTAGCGACTCTGGAGCTCAAAACGCGTCCGGGATTTTGGCCGCCTCTACCGGTGTTCTGGCCCACTGCGACGCTGCGCCGCCACGCCGGAAGGCCGGAAGGTTGGCAGCTACTCGGCTTGCCGGGCTTGCCTAGACTGGGTGGGTCGGACAAGGTTGGCTGCCCTGCGCCGCCCTGCGCCGGCCCTGCCTAAAAGGGTCGTCGGAGACTGGGCGTGGCCTTTGCTGGTCGCTCGCTAATGGACAGCCCTGTGGCCTGATATGTCCCTTCTTCCTCCCACTCCCTCTCTCCCTCCCTCCCTCTCTCTCTTCCCGACCCGACTCTTCCGCAATTCCGCGCCTTTAAGCGCCCCCGTCTCTAAATAATGGGAAACTGGCGCGTAAACAACAACGACGACCTTGTGGAGAGGGAGGAGGAGGAGCGCGCTGCCGAAAACAAAAACAATGAATTTTGTTTTGGCGTTTGATGAAGGCCCTGTCGATGTTGATTAAGTGTGGCGATTTGTAACGTGCGGACTGCAGCTGGGGCCTCCTCGGTCTCCCGTCCTCGTCTTCCATCCCCTGGAGGACCGTCCGTTTGTCTCTTTCACACACTGCGGGAGGTGGCACAGTGGGCCAGATGACCGGTGGAGGCGGCCAAAACTCTAGACGCGTTTTGAGCTGCAGAGTCGCTAAACAGGACTCGAACCGAACGTGTGACCCCACCAATGGATTCTTCGTTCGGAGAGCAATCCATTGGTGGGGTCACACGTTGAGTTCGAGTCCTGTTTAGCGACTCTGGCGCTCAAAACGCGTCTAGAGTTTTGGCTGCCTCCACCGGTCTTCTGGCCCACTGTGGGTGGCCCGTGAGGGAGACGGGGAGAAACATGCCACTCCCGCTATCGGAATCAGTCCGCTGCATCGCGCTCTGCATCCTGGCGAAACGTCTAGCGTGCAATGGGGATGGCGGTGGTACCTCCGCCTCCTCCTGCAGGTCCTGCCCACTCACACAGAGCAACAAGTCCGCCCCCCACCCTCTGGACCGTGTCGCACCGCGTCGCTGCCTTGCTAGCGCAGCCCAGCGCAGCCCAGCGCAGCCCTGCGGAGCCTGCATGGAGGGGTGCCGTACTGGCGTGACGCAAGCGCGCAAGCGGTCGGGCCCTGCGGAGCCTTGCTGGGCCTTGCGGCGCCACCCCCTGCAGACTGGCTGCTCCGTCTCTCTCGCACTCGCGGGGCGTCCCCGGCGGTCCCTCGGCAGCCGTGCGAGTGCGAGTGGGACGGTGCGTCGGCGGAGCCTCCCCCTGTCGGTGCCCCAGCCCCACCCGGTCCTGGCCCTGCCCGGCCCTGCCCAGCCCCGCTCTCCAGTGCTCTGCCAGCTCCCGGAGGCAGCGCCGTGCGCCCTGCGTTCGCCGTGCCCGCCAAGACGAGCCCCTCCGACGCCCTCGGCGCACCGCGCTGCCTGCTGCAGCAGCTGCCCGTCAGGCGGCGGGGCGGACAGTCCTGCGGCGCGCCCTTGACGGCGTCCTCGGCGTCCTCGGGCACGGCGTCTTCGCGGCCAGCGCGGCCCTCCCGCGGGCAGGCGCTCGGCTCGCCTTTTGGCGCCATATGGTGGCCAGCCTGGTCGCCCGTCCGTGCGCGGCAAGCGCCCCCTGCCTCCCGTTTTGACCCCGAGTGTACACGGTGCACCTCCGGGCACGGCCAGGGCACTGCCGTGCGTGACCCGCCTCGTCGTTTTGGCTCCGAGTGTACCAGTGTACTGCCATGCGCCACGCGGACTGACTGTGTTCGTTTGTGTTTCTTGCTCATGCTACTCTCTCGCTCGCTCTCTTTTTGTTTTCGTTTTTGATTAATTTCTACGTTTTATTCATCCATTTGTTGTGTCGTGGCTTTGGTTTTGGCCGGAGAGCGTTTCGCTGTTGTGCCGCGACGGCGCGCGAAGGGGGTTTGCGTTGTTGGTTTCGTGGCTGCCTGGTGGCTGCTTGTTGAATGAGAGTGGGGGAGGGGGAGGGGCAGGGGCGTCCTCTGGGCGGCATAGGCCCCATCTGGTGGGCCAGGCGCTTGGGACACGCGTGCCGCGCCCGAGCTAGGCCATGAGGGCCATCTGGGTCATCTGTCGGGTGTGTCTGCGACGGGGAACACAGTGGACTTGCCCGAAGACCGGTGCAGGCGGTCAAAATCCCGGACGCGTTTTGAGCTCCAGAGTCGCTTAGTGGGATTCGAACCGCACGTGTGACCCCACCAATGGATTGCTCTCCGAACGAGGAATCCATTGGTTGGGTCACACGCTCGGTTCGAATCCCACTAAGCGACTCAGGAGCTCAAAAGGCGTCTGGAGTTTTGGCCGCGTGCACCGATCTTCTGGCCCACTGTGCAGTCTTTGGCCAGGGACGAGAACGCCGTTCAAAGATTAGCGACTGCATCTTTTCGAACAGTCGCTTTCGACTTCTCCTGCTTGCTGGTTTTCGGGGAAGGGCGAAACAGAAGCGAAAAAGATAAACGTAAAATGAAAAAAAAATTGTTCTGATAGGGATGGACACGATAAGGCCGTATCAGCACACCCTCCACCTGACTCAACTCGGCTGCCACCGTCCAGGCTGTGTGTGTGTGTGTGTGTGCGCGCGCGCTCTGTTTTTATTTATCCCCTTTTCCTCATGATTTATTTTCGGAAGTAGAAACAAAATCCCCCCAAAAAGAAACTACAAGAGTTTGCTCTTAGTTTGGACGGGGTCAGGTCTCGAGCGCCTTGGCCGTGTAGCATGCAGTCTTATGGGACGTTCGACGGAGTCGCAGAGAGAGACGACTCAGCAGGTATTTTGTTGGTTCTTGTGTTACGTAATTAGAGTTTGGCTCTTCTAGTGCACTGCGCTGGCCGAGGCGGGCCGCTGCTTGGAGGCAAAGCCGGAGGCACCTTTCTGTCGAATACCAACTCAATTTGCTGCGGCAAACATTTCCCGGGATTCCAGCAGACGCCAATCATTGTTAGCCGGCGAGATTGTGGTGTGTGCCGACGACACCTCGTTGGACTGCGGACTTCTACTTTTTGTTTTGTTTGTTTTCCGATTTTCTTCTCAATTTCTCGTCTGCTGAATCACCAGCCCGGGGAACACTGAAAACTGACGAGCGGGCGATGACTTTGCCTGAGATAGTTTTATCTCTCTTCCTCCCGTGACCGACAGGGCGCGTGTACGCGGCTTCGCTGTGGCGTCGCTGTCACAGACTCGAATTAATTTTTTTAAACGTCTCCATTATGTTTGGAACAACGTGCGATTTTGTCGGAAATTGAAGTTTGCGACTGCACCTTGTCACGTTGTTTCACCGACACTGGACGCTCTTCCCTTTCCTGGCGTGTCACAGTGGGCCAGAAGACCGGTGGAGGCGTCCGAAAACTCTAAACGCGTTTTGAGCTCCAGAGTCGCTGAATGGGACTCGAACCGAACGTGTGACCCCACCAATGGATTGCTCTCTGAACGAGGAATCCATTGGTGGGGTCACACGTTCGGTTCGAGTCCTATTAAGCGACTCTGGGGCTCAAAACGCGTCTAGAGTCTTGGCCGCCTCCACCGGTCTTCTGGCCCACTGTGCGTGTCCCGCCTGCTCCGGTCGGCGGGTTTCTCATACTGCAGAGGGAGGCGGTGCTGGTGCGCCGCGACGCCGCCCCGCCCCGCGGCGTCGGTGCGGCGTGGTTCGCGGCGCTGCCACCAGAGGCCGCCGGGCGGTGGCGCCGCTGCGCGTTTGTTGACGGAAGAAAAGCTGGCCGTCTGCTTGGTCTGCTGCTTCATGTCTGCGTGACGCTCGCGCTGGCGCCGCGCCAGGCTCGCTAGCTGGGCGTAGCGTAGCGCCGCGTAGCGCAGGGCCGAGGTTCGAATCCGCGCGTTCCCTGCGTTCCTCGCGCGTTCCCCGTTCCTCGCGTCAACCAGGCTGAGCCAGGCGAGCTAGGCCGCGCCGCGCATCGATCGCCGTCCTCCCCGTCATCGCGGTGCGTCGCCGTGATGGCCCTGGTGCCCAGTGAGGGCCGCCCGTCGACCGCCGCGACCGCCGCCGTCGTCAGCTTGGCCAGGTTGGCTCCGCGTCCGCGCGCGGCACCGCCAGCACCGCGTCGACGCCGCCGTGGGAAAGCGTTGCGAGTTCCGCGTCGGAGGCCTGGAGCCTGAGAGTGGCGCCGCGGCGTTAGTGCAGTGGGCCCACTGCACTGCACCTTGCCGCGCACCTGCCAGTGTAGCCTGCGTCCAGCCTGCGTAGCACTGCGTAGTAGGCGGGAGTAGGCCAGTGTCGCGGACACCGCGGACGCTCGGACACCTGCTCGCCGTCTCGCTCCAGTCGTCGTCAGTGGCGCGCTCTGTCCCTCCCCGCGTGTCGCGGTGGGTTAGGTTGGCCAGCGGCCGCCAGCGGCGCGGGTTCGACGCCCGGCACCGGCAGGCGACTTTCGCTTTTTGTCGCGTGCCGTGCCGCGCCCCGCGAGGCGTGTGCCTCCTGGGACGAGGCGCTCACCGCGTTGGCCCGCGTGTTACCAGTGTAGGCGACTTGCCCCCGAATCCCCATTCATTCCCCGCACCATGACGTCACACTAGCGGTGGTAGCAACGGTAGCAACGCCTTCCTGCCCCCACCCCTTCCCCTCCCGGATCCGTGGGCTGCACAGTGGGCAAGAAGACCGGTGGAGGCGGCCAAAACTCTAGACGCGTTTTGAGCTCCAGAGTCGCTAAACGGGACTCGAACCGAACGTGTTACCCCACCAATGGATTGCTCTCCGAACGAGCAATCCATTGGTGGGGTCACACGATCGGTTCGAGTCCTATTTAGCGACTCTGGAGCTCCAAACGCGTCTAGAGTTTTGGCCGCCTCCACCGGTCTTCTGGCCCACTGTGGGCTGGCTGCTCGCACTAGAGTCCTAGCTCGGCCCGGCCGGCTTGTTCACACATGACGCGTCAGCCAGCCGGCCCAGCCATGGCACCCATGGCACCCATGGCACCCGCGAAGCCGCGTGCCCCCCTCATTATCACAGTCACATACAGTAAAGCGCAGCGACGCAGCGACTCGCTGCCAGCGCCCCGGCAGTCTACACCGCGGGGCCGGAGCTCTCGGTTTGCCGAAGTGAGCAAAAAGCGGGAAAAGGATCTGAAACATGGAGTCTGTGGCCGCTTGAGCCGGGCGTGCCTGGCGTTAGTGAGTTCCCCTGTGTGAGTAGGCCCCTTGGGAGGCGCGGTGCTTGGCAGGCGCGCTCGGAGGGCAACGTCCGCTTACCTTCGTTTACTACGTATCAGGGGCTGTCTATTCCCCGCCCCGAGTCATCGCTGTGCCGGGGTACAGTGGGCCAGAAGACCGGTGGAGGCGGCCAAAACTCTAGACGCGTTTCGAGCTCCAGTCGCTAAACAGGACTCGAACCGAACGTGTGGCCCCACCAATGGACTGCTCTCCGAACGAGGAATCCATTGGTTGGGTCACACGTTCGGTTCGAGTCCCATTTAGCGATTCTGGAGCTCAAAACGCGTCTAGAGTTTTGGCCGCCTCTACCGGTCTTCTGGCCCACTGCGGCGTGGCCAGGCCAGGCCGTGCTGACCTAGAAGAGCGTCGCCCCCTACTGCTTAGACGACATTGCCACGCCCCCACCCGCTCCGCGCGCCCGGTTTTGCCGCCGTGTCTTTTTCTTTTTCCTTGTTCTTTGGCCTGTAATGATGTTCGTCTGAGAGGCGGGCCGGGGGTCAGTCGGCAGCCGCGCAGCCGGTCAAGGTCCTGGCTTGGCCGGGCCCCAGCGGGCCGACCGGGCTGGGCTTCCCTCGACGCGGGGTGTCGCCAAGGCGTCTGTCACTACCGTCACTGCTGCTCAAGGCGGCAGCGTAGCGTTAGGGACAGGGCAGCGCGGGGTATCGCCATCGCCTTGCCCGGCTTTTCCCGCTTGTCCTGCTTCTAGCCGTCCAGCCTGCGTGCGGGAAGACCGGTGGAGGCGCTCAAAATCCCGGACGCGTTTTGAGCTCCAGAGTCGCTAAACAGGACTCGAACCGAGCTTTTGACCCCACCAATGGATTGCTCTCCGAACGAGGAATCCATTGGTGGGGTCACACGTTCGGTTCGAGTTGGAGCTCAAAACGCGTCTTTGGCCGGGGCGTCGCGTCGAGACGCGGGGCTGTGGCGGACTGGACTGACTTCCCTGCCTGCTGTAGGGTGCGTCCGTTGCGTGGTGGCGCGCTTTGACGACGCCAGTCCCGGCTCCGCAGGCTCCGCCTCGGCCAAAGACGCGTGCAGCGAGAAGCGGCCCCTGATTGGTCGAGCCGCCGAGTCCGCCACCGGCAGTGGGACTTCCCTCGCCGCCCTCGGCTCCCTGCCCGGGCCCGGCCGGTGCCCTTCCGTCGTGAAGCTAGCCGTCGCGGAGCTGAGCCGACGAGGCTTGGGCCGCCGCCGTGCCATGGAGTAACCGGCAGCCACTGTCTGGTGTATCCAGTGAGAGAGAGAGCGCTAGGGAGAGAGAGAGAAAGAGAGAGGCAACCATGTCAGGGAACTCAATGCTGCAGCCCTTGCTCAGCCGGTACCGAGATCGCTGGAGATGTAAGTACACTTGTTGTTGGAGAGATGTAGCTGGCATTTTTAATTCGACTGTGCGGGAGGATATGACCAACCCTCACTGTTACTACATACTTTACTTTAAGATATCATTGCCATCTGTAAATTTCAATGCCCAGTCGATTTGACTAAATGCAAACTTTGAGAGTGATGGGCTGACCGAGCAGAGTCTAATGAAAGTTTTGCGATGGTTTGTGTTCCAGCAAATGGAGATGATGCAGCTTCCTCCTCCCAAGTCGACAGTTCGGTGGATGTGGCAGATGGGGCTGGTGGAGGCTTGGGGTACAGGGTCATTTTTGTCAATCGACCACAGCCTCAAGCCAACAAATTCTGCACGAATTACATTTCGACTGCCAAGTACTCCTTAGTTTCCTTTTTCCCTGCTTTCTTGTTTGAGCAGTTCAGACGGTATTCAAATTGCTTCTTCTTGTTTATTGCTATGCTGCAGGTACGACATTTTCATTTATTTATTATTTTTTAATGCATTATTATCAATATGAAAAGAAACTGTTCAGTTTTTTTATTCATTTCTGTCTTCAGCAAATACCTGATGTATCTCCCACGGGACGATGGACGACCCTAGTACCCCTACTTTTCATTCTTACTGTTTCTGCCATTAAAGAAACTATTGAAGACATTGTAAGTTAATTTAATTAAGGAAAATGAAAGATATTTCATTGTTTTAAGTGATTCTGTTTTGTAGCATTGTCTTTCTTTGATTTTCTAGAAACGTCATCGGGCAGATAGTGAAACAAATCAAAAAGAAGTAGAAGTTTTAAGAGATGGCCATTGGCAGTGGGTCAAGTGGCATGCAGTCCTAGTTGGAGACATAGTCAAAGTCCACAACAATAATTTTTTTCCTGCAGATCTCATTGTGTTAGCTTCTAGTGAGCCTCAAGCAATGTGTTATATTGAAACATCAAACCTTGATGGTGAAACAAATCTAAAGGTTCGGCAGGGTTTAGCAGAAACGGCTAATCTTCTAAAGACAGATGATCTCTCTCAATTTCGGGCTACTTTGGAGTGTGACCTGCCTAACCGTCACCTTTATGAGTTCAGTGGTGTTTTGAAGGAATCTGGTAAACAGTAAGTTGCGTCCAATATAGATAAGACTATGGAACATTCCTCTTTGCTGCCTCCGAGTCTGACTGCAAGTATTATTTCTTTGTAGGAAACTTTCCCTTGGCCCTGATCAAGTTTTACTAAGAGGTTCACTTTTAAGAAACACCCGCTGGGTGTTTGGACTGGTTGTATACACTGGTCATGAAACAAAGCTAATGAAGAACTCCACCTCGGCTCCTCTAAAAAGATCATCAGTAGACAAATTAATCAACAAGCAAATTTTAATCTTATTTATGATTCTCATTGTGTTGTGTTTACTCTCTGCTTCATGCAGTGAGTGGTGGTCATACACACATGGTGAAAATGACTGGTATCTGGGAGGTAAGTAGAAACTGCAGTACTGTGTTTGTAGGTGTACTTATGTTTATTGTTTTCCTTACCTAAATTTTATTCCCTTAGCGTATGTGTCCAAAAATTTTGGGTACAATCTGTTGACATTTATGATTCTCTACAACAATCTCATTCCAATTTCACTTCAAGTCACATTAGAGATGGTTCGTTTCATTCAAGCAACATTCATAAACATGGATATTGATATGTATCATGCTCAAACAAACACTCCTGCCATGGCACGAACATCCAACCTCAATGAAGAGCTTGGAATGGTATGACTTGCACTTTCAAAGGTGGTGTGTACCTGTTCATTTTTAACTGCCACTAACGCCTGTTTCGTTTCCAGGTCAAATATATTTTTTCAGACAAAACTGGTACTCTTACTAGAAATGAAATGGTTTTCAAACAAATGAGTGTTGGAGGCATATTATACAAACCAGCAGAGAAGCTCAGAGACACACTTCTAATGCAGGTAACTATTTTTTTCTACACCTCCTTTATCTGTTTGCTTTGATGTATCGAAACTGAACTGTGATTTTCCATTTTATAGCACATAGAACAAGGACATGAAAATGCTGCCCTTTTGCGTGAATTTATGGTGTTGATGTCTGTCTGCCACACTGTTATTCCTGAGCAAATGTCTGATGGAACAATTCAGTACCATGCTTCATCTCCAGGTAAGTCGTGGACTAGGAGTGTTTTTCTGATTGTTACTTTGGTACTCATCTTTTTGGCACATTGAGTAACAATTTGTTTCCGATTGCAGATGAACGTGCATTAGTCCAAGGAGCTGCTCTGTTTGGCTTTACTTTTGATACTCGTACTCCCAGTTCTGTTGAAATTCTGGCTCTAGGCCACCGTGAGAAGTATGAAATATTGCATGTCATAGAATTTACAAGTACAAGAAAGAGAATGTCGGTCATTGCCCGCACACCTGACAACAAGATCAAGTTGTACTGCAAGGTGAGATCTATTTATGAATCTGTCTTGACTTACATATTTATAAAATAAATTGTTTTCTAATTTTCCTCTTAATTGCAGGGTGCAGATACAGTGATCTATGAACGGTTAAGTCAAAGTACCCAGAAAGCCAAAGAGCAAACTTTAAAACACCTCGAAACATTTGCTACTGAAGGTCTACGTACTCTTTGCTGTGCTGTGGCTGATATTTCTGATGAGGCTTACGAAGAATGGAAGGAAACCTACTACAAAGCTAAAGTCTCTCTTCAGAATAGAGAGCAAAAAATGGATGAAGCAGCAGAGCTGATTGAGACCAATCTCACTCTTCTAGGAGCATCTGCAATTGAAGACAAGCTGCAAGATCAGGCAAGTTTGAAACAATTTTGGGTTCTATTTTTTTTTTTTAATTTCCATTTTTACGTTACTTACTTGCACTTTCTCTTGCAGGTTCCAGAAACTATTTCTGCTCTGATCAAAGCTGATATAAACGTGTGGGTGCTGACAGGGGATAAACAAGAAACAGCTATAAATATTGGATACTCATGTCAGCTTATCACTCAAGGAATGCCTATACTGATAGTTAATGAAGGTAGTCTAGACGTGAGTATCAATTTTTTTCCTTAATAATAATGCAGCTGTTTTTCTTACTGCTGTAACTTTTTTTGTAAATATTTTTTTTGAAATCAGGATACAAGAGATACGATTGGACGTCACATTGCTGACTTTGGGGAGCACTTGAAGAAACCAAATCATGCTGCACTTGTAGTTGATGGGCACACATTAAAATATGCCCTCACTCATGATCTCCAAAGAGACTTCTTAGACTTATGTATTTCGTGCAAGGTTGTTGTTTGTTGTAGAGTTTCTCCAATGCAGAAAGCTGAGGTAAAAATACATTTTTGTAATGTTATCTTGTGGTTTAAAACTTTCACTACCCTTAATTATCTCATTTTAAATTTAGATGGTGGAGTTAGTCACTGTGCACACTGGAGCTGTAACCTTAGCCATTGGGGATGGTGCGAATGATGTTGCCATGATTCAAAAAGCCCACGTTGGTGTAGGTATATCTGGATATGAAGGACTCCAAGCAGCTTGTGCATCTGATTACTCTATAGCACAGGTAAACTTCTTTGTGCAATATAATATTCCATGATTTTCGTTTGCTCAAAATTCCAAATGCTAATTTTATGTAACCTGAGAGCTAACTGAAATGTTTCTTCCAACAGTTCCGATTTTTGCTTAAATTGCTCTTGGTTCATGGAGCTTGGAACTACAACAGAATGTGCAAATTAATCTTGTACAGCTTTTACAAGAATATCTGCCTCTATATTATTGAGCTGTGGTTTGCTATCTACTCTGGCTGGTCAGGTCAAGTTATGTTTGAACGCTGGACTATTGGTTTATACAATGTGGTACGTAAATGCTCTGGCTAACATGGTTTTGAATTAGGTCCTCTGTGATTTTTCTCTTGATTTGAATTGTCTGATTGTTTCTCCAGCTGTTTACTGCATCTCCTCCAATCACAATGGGTATTTTCGACAAAGTTTGCTCTGCTGAAATGATGCTTCAATACCCAAAGTTATACTCTCCGTCTCAAAATGGTGAACATTTAAATGTGAAGGTCTTCTGGGGCTGGATTGTTGTGGCCATCATTCACTCCATCATTTTGTACTGGTTGCCCATGCTGATGTGTCAGCATGACGTACTTTGGAGCTCTGGGTTTGATCAAAGTTACTTAGTACTTGGCAACTTTGTGTACACGGTAAGCTTCACCTAGTTGTTTTTGTTTTTAATTAATTATTGACAAGTTTTAATTTGATGCATTTGATTGCTTCTAGTATACTGTGGTTACTGTATGTCTAAAAGCTGGACTAGTGACAAATTCGTGGACATGGTTAACACATGCTGCAATCTGGGGCTCCATTGCAACTTGGTTCTTGTTTGTTGTAATTTACAGGTAATTGTCAACTTTTGACTTATTCTTCATTTTAAGATATTTGAAACTGTTCATTTCATGTTTATTTTTTCACAGTGCGTTTTGGCCAACAATTCCCTTGGGAGCTGTTATGTCTGGCATGGACCTGATGATGTTCACATCGCCAGTTTTCTGGTTGGGTCTTGTCCTTATTCCATTTTCAACATTAATAATTGATGTAACATACAAAGTGTAAGTAATTTCGGGGTATCATTTCAAAATTGGATCAATTTTTGAAACACTGGTTTAATCATGGGATTGCCACACATGTGTCTAGAATTTCGACTTCTACTCATAAATCGTTGACGGATGCTGTTCGAGAGAGCGAGATAAGGAAATCTGATCCTGGAATTGTCATGGCAGAAAGCAAGACGTAAGTACATTTTTTATTTAATCAAATATGTGTATTCTAACCCATGAGGGGATGTTATTTGATAGGAAGGCTTTCAATTTAGATCAGGTAACAAGGTAAAAACAGCCATGTAGTGTGAAAGACTCATGGACAGTATCAATTTGGTCTTTAGTAACAGTAACAATGTGGTGGATGGTAACCCAACACCTCATAATTCATTCATTCTGGTGACAAAAGGAATTTTAATAAATTGAGGTCAAGACTAAGAGCTCTCTTAGTTGTCGTTTTAAAAAAGTCTTTCTTTTCATTAAATTGTTCACACTTTGCACTTTCTCACAGTTGTTTGACCGTCATGTCCTAAATATAACAAATGCTATTCGATGCATTCAAATTTTAACCTTCTTGCTCTTTTGAGTAATGTTGTTGAAGCAGCAAAACATTCAATCAATTTTGTTTTTAGTGTCAAGTTTGCTTCTTGAAAGGCTTTTTGTTGTTTTAATGAATCCGAAAACTTACCCAGTACACCTAACATTACTTAGGTAATCTTAGGTTTACGGGCGGGCACTTTGGACTTTACCGCTAACATTTTTCACGTAATTTCACTTCCATAGCAGCTTTGATGTACATTATATTTGGGACTATTATATTCATACACATGCATTCACTTGCTTTCTTTGTGGAATGCACTATAAAGAAACCACATTTGTAATTAATTTAAAGCTTTATTTTCATTTTTTAACACCGTTTGTCAATGTGACCCAGTATATTTTTCAAGTATATTTCAAAAGATACCTTTGTCACCATTTCACATTTCTTTTTTTAGGCATGACTTTCATCGCAGTCATTCAGGCAGCAGTGCTGCTGTTTGGAGCTCTCTACTAGAATTCAATCACCAATTCAAATTTGACATGCATAATAGGGTGTTAAGGGTTTTGAGGAACATTTATAATGTAGGGAGAGCATCACTTAAGTGCCCGATTCAGGTGTGAATTAGATATTTCTAACCATTCACTTGTTAGGATAGTTTTAAGAATGTTAATAATATTGGTTATTGTGCCATTTACGCTTAATTTAAACATAAATTTTGATCTCAAGACTGTGATTTAGTTCTAAATGTCTTTGTTGTCAAGGGGAGGGTGAGACTCAAATTCTCTCTCTTTTGACCTTTGGGGTTATTATGGCCCTAAATATCCCGAGATTTCTTTTTTTACTAACTTGGAAAATATGTACAGAAAGGCCTGACTGTATATGAACCAGTCAAACCCGATTTCCTCATGTTGTCTGTGTTCAGGACAATGTGTGTATATACAGTAGTCATGATACCTCTGCATAAAAATATGCGGAAGTCTGTTTTTTTTTTTTAAATAGCCACTATCCAAGAATTGTACAGAATTTCTTTTTAAACTAACATATTTAGTAAAATGGTGGTGCAAATATTAATGCTTTTTGATTAGAGGATGAGGGCTCACTAGTAGTTAATTTCTTAATGTTACTGGAGCTATCGGAATATAAGCCAAGAGCATTTTTTTAAAGTCAAATCTTGAGGTTCAACACTGGAAAAAAAGTTTGGTTTATAAGCCGATAACTATGGTATGTCAAGTAGCTGAACCTGCTTGTGGAAGTTTGATGAATAATGTTTAAATGTGTTTATTTTAGCAGTGATTTTTTCTGTGTTAGTGGTTGCAAGGGAAATATGTGGTGCAGAGAAGGGAGCATTTTTACAACAATCATTGCTCACTGTTTTGTGGTGTGTGTGCTGCGGTGAGATATGATTTTATTTCACTTCATAACGGTACTGAGCTATTTCTTTCTTTGAAAGACCAAATTCCCTGGCTTTAGGTTGGCTTTTTCTTGGTGTGAGGGGAAAAGTGAGTGGTGTTTGTACTTTGTGTTTTACCTAATCACTTCTACTTCCTTTCCTGTTCACTGAACCCTCAATTTTTTGCTATAACAATTTTGTCTTCAATCAAGGCCAGAAATTTTTTCTTTCACAGAGTGAAATTGCACTTTTTTTACTGCACGTTAGCACTTTTCACATTTTAAAAAATTAGGTTTTCCCCAACCACCTTTTGAGCACATACTTTGGTAAGGTATGCTCTAACTTTACAGTTATTGGGTACCTGACATGTGTGTTCAAAATGTCTCACATGTGCTATAAATGTAGTTAGTTAGTAGGAGTTAAACAGACGTTGAAGTTGCATATCACAAGTCATATTTGCATGTTGTTCGCTATTTTGTGCTTGTTTTTGTGGGGAAAAAAATTCTCTTTTGCAATGGTTTTGTGTGTTTTGGGAATTTCTTTTTTGTGTCTTTAATTTTTGGACTTTTTAAAGGGTATATTATATCAATCCGACATCTTTTAATTACATTTTGAAGGGTATATTATTTTAATGTTAGATCTTTCACATTTTCCAGTGTCACTTCAAGTGGCAAGTATTGTTCCATATACATGCGCCTTCCTCCTTATATCAATGAATGGAACTTGGGTAAAAAGCTTTAAATACTCCCTTGTGATATACAACCCACTTCTGCTTTAGCTGAGTATGCTTCTGCTGACATTACTTACGCTGACTTGTGTTGTAATGTCCGTATTTGTGCTAATGGTAAGAACTAATATTGATTGTGCCTTATATTAGTATGCTTTTGTATATGATTGTACCTAGTGTATTGATTCTAAGCTTCTTAGCTAGCACTATGTATGTGATGCTCTACCTTTTTTGTTGCCATCGCGACGAGTGTCGTGTTGTTGTTTTATTTTGTTGTATGTTCCCAAGTTGTTTTTTTCTTTTTGTCTAGTCAGGGATCCCTTATGTTAACAACACGTAAAACTATATTTTCATACGTACTACAAATAATTTATTTTTCAATATAAAGAATAAAAATGGACATGTATCTGTCTCTTTTTTTATGCAGTATTTTTTACTGTATCTTTTATCCCTTGAGTCCGTAGCATTCTGCATTGTACTTCTAGAATTGCTCAAGCAAAGCATTTTTGACATTGAACTTCTCTTTAGTAAAATTTCTGTGTGTATGCGCAGCCCCGCTGCAGCGTTGGGAAGCCTGGTGAGGTGTAAGTACTTAATAGATCTACTTACTTTCGCTTTGATATAACAATGCAGGTTATGCAAAAGGGCTATCTCATCTCCTAATGATGCCAGCTCGTTTGCTGTAAGTACCTGCTTTATATCATCAGCTTAAAAAGTTTTGAGGACTCCATTGAATTGATTTGTAAAAATTAGTAGTTTCTAACTGGTGGAGTGTTTAGTATCATCTAAGTAATAATTTGAGATGGTCTTTTGACTTTCCATCATCATTGGTGTAAATTACATTAATAACAAAACGTTCTTTGTCAACCAATGAGTAACTGAAGGCAAATTGCTGTGTTGCTCAGCTGTTCATTTTTATTTGCCTTAATTTCTTATTTAAATCTTGCCAATGTGTCATCGCATCCTCACCTTTATTTAAGCTGGGAATGGGATGGGGATACTACAATACAATTCTTTATTTACAATTTTGCAATCTCTGCATGCGCATGTGATCAGCTAGATTGCCTTGTAAGCCACTTCCAACACACCACTGGCTTGAAAGTTGCCTGTAAAATAATTACTTCTGGGGAATCAAATGAGAAAAATAGTTCGCAGCCCTCAGCAAAATGAACTCTGTCATTCAGTTCTGGCGTCTATCCTGGGAGCTATCACCACCGTGCTACGAAACGCTTTTGCTTGCGTTCGGCGCTGCTGCCGTAAGGGCAGGCTGGGGCAGAGACGAGATGTAATGGGTGTGGGCCACAATGGCTACCCTGCTCCAAATATGGCTCGTCAAACTGCTCGGTGACAGTACCGCCACCTAGTGAATCTACTTTACGGTAATTATTCCGATGCAACGTGACTGTGAGTACAGTGGTATTTTAAGTGTGGGCTGACGGAGGGGCTTTCGTGTTTAGGAAAGGAACATTTCGCTTGACTTGCATGGCTTTGTCACTTTCTGAACCTACAACCTTATTATGGCTTCTTTATCTTGTGTAGACATGTTGCAAACTTGGATAGAAGTATGAAACAGTGTAGAAGAAACTATTATCCTTCTGAAAGCAAGCAGTACTAAGTCATTTTGTGCACTTTTAAGATATGCCGCATGTTTGCTTTAGAAATAACAGCAGCAACACACCACTAACAAATGCTCCATCTCGGCTCCACTGTTCACTTTCGCAGCCATGACAGTGCTAGAGTCATGTAGTAACTCGCTTTGACTGCATTCTGCAGACTGACAGAACGGGCACGACTGCTCAAGAACGTTTTCAGCCGTCGCTCTGCAACAAGGGTAAACATGGAGGTCGAACTGAGCCGTAAGTATGCAATCAACAAAGAGGATGTTCTATTCATAACTACAGTAATAACTTTCATCATTCTGTTTTCTTACAACTTTGTGTAAGAGTTTTGTTTCTTGCAATAATTAATGACCATGCTATTTATTGACGTCTAAAGCCTGAAGGAGTCTGGCAATTTTAATGCTCCATCTTTACTCAATTTGATTCCGATCAACAAACAAACATTTCCAACCCTTTTTCTCTGAGTTTTTGCCTTTTGGCGTAACAAGTGATGTTTCTATGTTTCAGATGGGTTCGCATTTTCTCAAGAGGAAGGAGGTGCAGTGGCGCAATCGGATGTTATTCGAGCATACAACACAAATTTGCCAAAGCCAGGGGGAATGTAATCACTTATGTGTCTTTTATGTTCATCTGATTCATTGATTGTCTTTGGATAGACTGTGAAATGCAAATGCGAATCTTCTGTTGGACTTTGCGGGACCACATAAGTATCTTGGTGGAAGAAAAGAAATTGATGAGACCCTCGCAGATTTCAAATTCCTTTTAATATTTGTCTATTACTGTGTTTTGGGTCATTCTTACTAGGCATACAAAGGTTCTGCAAACTGTCGTAGATGTTCTTGCTCTTACCTCATTCTGATCAACACAATTATCTAGAAATAAAGTGAGAAGTCCATTTAAGTTTCTACAATCTAATTCGTAAACCGATATAAATGCCATTAAGTTTGCAATGTTGAGCAAATTTTTAACTGTCCATGGTATTATATATTGAAGTACAAAGTTTTTGTGCATGAAGTAGTGCACTTATTACTCATTTAAGCAAATTGCCTAATTTTCGTATCATAGCTTAAGACTGCCATGCTAATATTTTAATCCTAAGATTGTAATCGAAAGCTTGGCATGGCACACAATTACGCTGACCTAGATTGCAAGTCATCTTTTGAATCATGTGTTATTTAACTTCAAAGTGAAATTGATACCATAAATGTGATTCCTTTATTTTTTTAAACACTAAGCAGTCCTTGTGATAATTAGAATGACTCTGAATGTAGGCACTTGTTTCTGAATTTACTGATTGGAACCAGATTGGAATCATCTCTTCTTGACTTCTAAGTATGAGACATTGTGCTCTTAGGGACAGTTTTTCACAACTGGTTTTGGAAAACTGAAGTTTCTTCTGAGCAAGATCATTGCCTGGTTGCTTTCCCAATAATCAATTGATTTACCTACCTGTAATTCTACAAGTCCAAAAAGTAATAGTGAGTTGTGATTAATCAAAGGATTTGTTGCCTTAGATTTGTTGCCTCAAAAAAATTTCAAATGACTTAATCGTGTACAACTCCCCCTCTTTTTCTTTGTATTGAGCCTCACAGTGATCACTTCTTTGTTACACTTTTGTTAGAAGAAGCGTGAGCTAGTTTCATTTTCTGCAAACCAAATTTGGTTAAAAAAGAAAACAATTTTAAATTGCAATGACTGATATTGTCAAAAGAACACAGCTGGTATCTGGAAGTCTGATGTATCAACGTCCTTTGGCTACATGGCCCAGTACTGTCAAGAGAATGTACAATTAAATTAAGTCCCGTTTGCTGAATAGCTTTCATCTTTGTGTTGGCATTATGTACTTGTAAATTATTTGTCTAATTCTTCACTGCTTTCTTTGTTACTTTTTTTGCTGCATATTGATCAGTACTCGCAGCACAACACTGTGCAGATTATGTCATGTCATTACTTGTGTGGTAACTTGTATTTGAACCGTGCTACATTTTACATTTATAACTAATTTTTCTTTTCATGTGCATGTCGAAATAGTTACCAAAAATCGCATGTAGGTTGCTGGTTTTTAATTTGGAGATTAACTGCCAATATTGATCCATAAAGGATGTGTTGGATCTCATAACATATCATTGGCAGTTGTCGTTCTTCACAAGAAGAACGAAGGATTTTGAAGTAATTCCCCACATGAGTGTAGGGTAGGAGCATAATAAAATTAAAATTAACTTATTGCATAGAATGTGACGGCTTAAGTTAAGTTAATGTGGTACTTTACATTGTGATAATAATTCATTTGTAAGAATTTTCATGCCATGTCTTTTAATCATGCTAATGTGTACAAGCTTGTTGTGTATAGGTATATGTTAATTTTATTTTGAAATTCGTTGTTGTATATTAACTTAGTGAGTGCAGTTACTAGCATTCCTCTGAGCACTATTTTTATGTAGTGTGAAATTAGATTGTTCCCATGCTGACCCACATTAATCTTTCTTCTATTTTTAAAAAATCTGTTTTTTTTTGCTTATTGTATTATGTGATGTATGGGTGTTGTTCTTTTTATTTTTATGTATTTTCAAGGGTTTTTATGACTGAAATGAACATCCTAGTCTGTATATAGGTATTTTATTGGATTGTGTAAGTTTTTGTATGATAATTGACACTATGCCTTGTAGGCTTCTGAACTGTGCTTATGTTAATTTTACCACCTCAATTAATTTTTGATCGTTTTTAAAGAAAATTAATTTGTTTTACTTCTGTTTTGATGCAAGGGAAATTGTGTATCTCTGTGCTTTTGTTTACCAAAGTAATAAAGTCTATCTTCAAAAACTAAAAATAATCTTGACGTGCTTGTGAGAAACCAAGTCATGCACCCACCCAAATACTGGCCCAAGTGCTGAGAAGCTGTGCGCGGAAGACACAACCTTTGGGTGGCCCTGGCCTGGCCCTGGCAATCTGGAGCCAAGTACCACAGCAGCCTGGCACCAGAAGTTGGCGCGGGGCGCAGGTGGGGCCTATGGGTAAACATTACGCGCTGTGATGTCTGGGCGGGGCGGGGGCGGCTGATGCCGGCGAGTGGACGATCCCCTCAACGCCCCCACGACCCCCTTCGCCCCCCGGGCAGCCCCAGGCACCCCCTGCCCCCGTAGCGTAGCGTACGTACGGGGCCCCCGCAGCCCCACAGCCCCGACCCGATCGTCGAGCTGCAGCCGAAGGCGCCCGAACGCAAGCCGATCGAGCGAGCCGAGCGCAGCCAGAGAGAGAGGGAGAGAGAGGGCGCACGCGAGGGAGAGAGCGAGAGCGAGCGTGCGCGGTGAGAGCGAGAGAGACGCAGAGGCGAAAGCTAAAAAAGTAGAGATGGAGTGTGCGAGATGGGGCACACCGCCCCACCGCCGCCCCCACCTCGCGACCCGTACGCCCCACGCCCCGGCCCGCCCCCAGCCGGTGTGGCTGTGCTCTCGCAGCGCTCGCAGCAGTCCGGGGCGGGGCGGGGCGGGGCGGGGGCGGGGCGGCTGGCGAGGCGGCTCAGTCCCCGTCGGCAAGTGGCTGCGGCAGGTCCTCGGCGCTGTCCCCCACGCCCCGCGCGCCGCCACCCCGCCGCCCGCGTGTTCCTCGCCGACACGGCCGCCACGCCAGGCCGACTTCGACAGCCCCAGCGCCGGCTCGGCTCCGCTCCGCGCGCACGTGGGCGGTGGACCCGGCCGTCCCGGCCGTCCCGGGGACTTCGAGGTGCTCGACGACGACGCCAGCCTCCACGTCGCCGTCCTGGCCGTCCTGGCCGTCCTGGCCGGGCGGGGCAAGATAAATAGCGCAGGTAGGTGGAGCGGCGGAACGCGCGGAGATGAGGAGGGAACGCCAACAACGCGGCGCCGCGCTCCTCGCCCTGCCGGACCGCCCCGCCCCGCCCCGCCCCGCCCACCTTCTCCCCACGGCCCACGGCCCACCAGGCCGCAAAGTTAAAGGAAAGGAACACGGAGGCGAGCCCGGCGACCCGCGTGGGCGCGCGCGACCAACGGCACACAGTGGATCTGCCAGAAGACCGGTGCGGCCAAAATCCCGGACGCGTTTCGAGCTCCAGAGGACTCGAACCGAACGTGTGACCCCACCAATGGATTGCTCTCCGAACGAGGAGTCCATTGGTGGGGTCACACGTTCGGTGCGAGTCCCATTTAGCGACTCTGGAGCTCAAAACGCGTCTGGAGTTTAGGCCGCCTCCACCGGTCTTCTGGCGATTCCACTAAACGGTTCCATACCTTGTATTGGAAGAGCCCAGTTGATTTTCTCTTGGCAAGCTTTTCTCCCGTCTCCGTTTCGTTTTGTTTTTCATGTTTTTGACGGACTGGGTCCTTGCGTGGCGCACGGATCGCGGTGCGCGGATCGCGGCGCGATGTGGCATGTGGCGGAGCTCGCGGTGCAGCACGCGGTGCGCGGTGGCGCCGCGTGTCAAGCCGATTCATCACCCTTTGCGTCTGTCTCGTCTTCTGTCTCTTTCTCGCCTGCAACACTCGGTCTCTCTCTCTCTCTCTCTCTCTCTCTCTCTCTCTCTCTCTCTCTCTCTCTCTCTCTCTCTCTCCTCTCTCTCTCTCTCCCTCTCTCTCGCTCACGGAGCGCCTCCTCGGAATCAGTCTGCAAGTGTCACGGCTTTCGCCGGTGGCTTGGGGCGACGGGGCGACGGCAAGGGACCCGTGGGGGCTCGTGTCGTCTGCCGACTGAACAGTGGTTCCGACGCCCCGCCTCTCTCACACTCGCCGTCACACTCGTGGGGCGTCCCGCCGGGTAGGTGTGTATGTGTTCGTGTGTGTGTGTGAGAGAGAGAGAGAGAGAGAGAGAGAGAGAGAGAGAGAGAGAGAGAGAGAGAGAGAGAGAGAGAGAGAGAGAGAGAGAGAGAGAGAGAGAGGGGGGGAGGGACTCACACTCACGGCGAGACCTGCTAGCACCTTGTCAAGGCGAGTTGACATGCCGAGAGTACCAGCGCACAGTGGACCAGAAGACCGGTGGAGGCGGCCAAAAGTCAAGACGCGTTGTGAGCTCCAGAGTCGCTACATGGGACTCGAACCGAACGTGTGACCCCACCAATGGATTCCTCGTTCGGAGAGCGATCCATTGGTGGGGTCACACGCTCGGTTCGAGTCCCATTTAGCGACTCTCGAGCGTCGAAGCGAGAGACCCGCGAAAGACATGCCGGGCTGGCCGGCTGGCCCGTTGCAGGCAAGGGCCGTCGTCGCGTCCCGGCCCGTCCTCACAGTGTCCTCACAGCGTCCTCACAGCGTCCTGAGGACCCTCCGCCATTGTGTCGCGTACCTGCCGAGGGATTGCGAAGAGTCCTTGTCTCTCTCGCACCCCAGCGGGACGCATCGCGACCCCCCTCGGGTGCGACGCAGACAGAGCGTCGAGGGCTCCTCGGAGTGGGGCGCCATGGCCGGTGCTGAGTGGTGCGGCGAGGCCCTCGCATCGCCTCTCTCGCCTGCTCTCGCCTGCCTGACACCCTGACCCGATCTCTCTCCTTTGTTTAGCTTTGTCTCGCTCTGTCTTTGTCCCACCGCCCTTGGGCCCGAGGTGGCGCGCACGAGTCCAAGCGACAACTGCTGGGAACCTGAAAAAGAAACGGTGACTGGCCGGAAATTGGTGCATGCTTTCAAAAAAACATCCCTCCCCTTCCCCCGAAAAGAAAGAGTTGGCGTGCGCGGGGGTTTGAACCCACGTCCGGGTTCTGTAATCACACGACAAATGTGCGCTGATTTCTCTCTCTCTCTCCCGCAGCGCGGTGCCGGCTTTATCAAAAAAGTTTCGAGTCTCGGAGGGGCGGGTCACTTGGGGATGGAAAAAGGCTGCTCAGGTGGTGCGGGTGGCAGGCGGTGGACGCCCTGGTCCTGGTGTGCCGCACAGTGGGCCAGAAGACCGGTGCAGGCGGACAAAACTCTAGACGCGTTTTGTGCTCCAGTGACGCTAAATGGGACTTGAATCATACGCGTGACCCCACCAATGGATTGCTCTCCGAACGAGGAATCCATTGGTGGGGTCACACGTTCGATTCGAGGCCTGTTTAGCGACTCTGGAGCTCAAAACGCGTCTCGAGTTTTGTCCGCCTGCACCGGTCTTCTGGCCCACTGTGCGGCGTCCGGGCTGTCCGGGCTGTCCATGCCACGCGTCCGTCACCACGCTTTACGGCAGTGCGTCCAAGTTTGATGGCGGTATTGCCATTTTCCCGCCTCACCCTTTCCCCCCTTTTTTCGGTTTACACTGCGCATGTCACTTTACGGCCTCATGATGGAGAGACGACGCTTCGGCGTCACTAATCGAACGGGCGCTGCACCGGAGACAAGCAAAAAAGAAAAATAAACCGTGCATAATTTTTGTTTGAGAAATTTCAATTGTAAAGGCGCACGGAACAGCCCACTCCGCTGCGGCCGTCCACCGCCTCCCTTCGCTTCCGTTTCCTCGCGTTTTGTTTTTGTTTTTGTTTTCCGCTCGGCGCAGCGCGATGAAGGCCGCCGTTACGGACGCCGGCGAGCGAATAAATCAACTCCACCTGTCGTAAATTTAAATTCCCCAATTTTCATTTCCAGCACATCGTTTCGTTTCCAGGCCGGTCGGTCTGCGCCGCCGCGCCGCCGCGGCCCCTCGGCTCCCTATTTTTAAACACGCCGGCGATAACGGCTGGCCTCTCGGCCGCCCGCTGTCGTGCGTGTGGCAGTGTGGCGGCGTGGCAGTGTGGCGCCGCCGAAAACACACCGCACTGCCCGCTGCATTTTTCATCCCGCGGCCCTCAACGCAGTGCTGCCACACACCAGGTCTACGCAACAATTCGGAGTTCTTGCTGTGTGGCCAAAACACTTGACGCGTTTTGAGCTCCAGAGTCGCTAAATGGGACGCGAACTGACCGTGTGACCCCACCAATGGATTCCTCTCGGAACGAGCAATCCATTGGTGGGGTCACACGTTCGGTTCGAGTCCCATTTAGCGACTCTGGAGCTCAAAACGCGTCTGGCATTCTGGCCGCGGAGCGCCTGCCGTCGGCAGGGTAGGCAACCCCGACGCTCGGAGGGCTTCGGCTGGCCTACGCCTCAGGGGCTCTGCCCCTGTCCAGCGGCGGGGCGGGGCGGGGCAGGGCGCTTAGCGATACTACCACCCCGCCCCCGCACGCCCCCAGGCAAGGCCCCCCCCACCCCCGCGGCTTGCCGGCTTGCCTTGGCTCCCCTCCCGGAGCGCCTGCCGTGGTCCAGGTAGGCAGGCCGCCACGCACGCCTGCCCCGCGTCGCCGGGCCTTGCCTACCCGCCGGGCGCTCGCCCCGGCCCGCCCCTTCTTTGTCTGTCTCCCTGCTCATCTCTCGTAACTTTGTCACCGTGCGGGCCTCTCTCCCCCTTTTCACCGCCTTCTGGAAATAACGTTGTCTCCGTTTCTTTCGTTTGAGGCCAGCCGAGGCGGAGCGAGGCAGAGCCCTCGTATGTTTGTGGTGTGTGTGTGAGTGAGAGAGAGAGAGAGAGAGAGAGAGAGAGAGAGAGAGAGAGAGAGCGGATGGGCTGCTGCCAGCCTTAACTACCTTCGGGGAGGGGACTCTTCTGCTGGACTACCGCTTTGAGAAGGCAGTGCCAACCGCCCCTTCATCCCTTCATCCACTGCACTGTCAGATTCCATAACACTTCCCTCCTTTGCTGCACAAAACCCTCTCTGGTACAACCTCCTTCGCCGAAGAAACCCTCTCCGGAAAAAAGAGGAAGGAGGTGGGGCAGGGGTTGGTCAAACACAGATTGCAGGGAAAGAGGGTGTCGTGTCGGGGAAATCAGCGCTGCCCAAAGTGTCGAGCCTGGAGAGAGAGAGAGAGAGAGAGAGAGAGAAAG